GCCACTATCAAACGATTCGAACGGCATCCTGCGGAATCGGGCACGAACTTATGCACTCATCCAATAAATATAAATATAAAATGCAAATACATCGAATTCACTTTTTTTCTCGAATTATTTTGTTTTTAAACGTTTTTTTTAAATTTTAGGAATTTTTTTATGCTATTGAATTTCATATATTATTTTCTTTCTCCAAATAAAATTAAGTGTTTTATAATAGATGACACCACCTGATATTTCGTAGATAAAAAATTAAAATGTAAAGTTCTCTCACAACGAACAATAACCGAATTCTTCGAGTCTCGTCCTGCTATACGAGGTGTGACAATTAAGTAATGGTACTGATTGAGCCGCGATTGGGGTAATCCTGCGACCTTGAAATTCACTTTCCCTTCTGCCGGCATTCTTCTCCGCTCCATTGATATACAGGGTCCGCCATCTAACATTTTTTTTTTGAACCAGTGGTTATTTTGAGTGTGGTAACACTGATGTTACATCTGATTTGACAGAAAGTTAGCGTTATCCTTCCGCTGAACGAAAATGGTTGTGTATACGATTGAGGAACGCGTTAAAATAGTGCAGGTTTACTTTGAAAATGTGTGCGAAAATTACGCACGGAAATAAGCCGTAACAAAGCACCGTCCGCTCAGTATGTGCGCTTTCTTTTGAAAAAATTGAGAGAAACCGGCACAATTATTGATAAAGCAACGCGTGAGAAACCAAAAAAAGTGCGTATTACCGGGAATATCGCTGCTGTGGCCGAGAGTGTGCGTGAGGCGCCCGGAACATCAGTGAAGCATCGCTCTCAACAATTGGACATTTCCGAGACGTCCCTTAGGCGAATTTTGAAAAAAGACCTTGGTATGACACCGTAAAAAGTTCAATTGGTTCAAGAATTGAAGCCACGAGACCATCCGGTGCGGTTTGCCTTTGCCGAATGGGCATTTGTTTTATTACATTAAAAAAAAAAAAGTTACGGGGCGGACCCTGTATTTGCTGTCGCAAATATCGCTGAGTCGAACACGATAAAATAATAATACAATTTACGAATCGAGAGAAGATGAGATGTTTATTCTTTTTGCTTCATTCCATAAAGAGGTAAGTTTTTTTGTTTCGAAAACAGTTGATTTCATTTAATTAACGAGTAAAAAAACCTTCAAAAAGTGCAAAAAAAAAAATTCTCAAAATTTTTTTGGAAATTTCGCAAAAAAGCAAATAAACTTGTTGAGCAGCCAGGTAAAAAAAAAAACCTAATTTTAATTTTGCCAGACCTTGAACCCCCTAAATCCCCACACACCGTTGACGTATGCCTGTGGGCAAAGTTTCAAAATTGAAATTTAATCTCTCGTAAGTTGATTCCCCAGCACAACAAAATCAATTAAAATTTTAGATAAATGAAAAAAGTGTAGCGTATTTTTTTACAAGTGTGGTAAAAACTAAATATATTTTAATCATTTTAAAAAACAACTATTTAACTTTAACTTCAAAACTATTATAATTTCCATTAGAAAATACGCAAATGCTAGCAAAAACGTTTTCGAACGTAACGTAACGTAAAAACGGAACAAAACCAAACATCAACGAGTAAGTCTTACCGTTTGTGAACTATTCATTGCATTGTTGGAATGCATGAGCTTGTGATTCCTAGGTGTTGTGTAACTAATAAAATTGTTTTTGTTACGATATTAAATGAAGTGGAATTTTTTTGAGGTTTTCTTTCGTAATTTTAAAATTTTTATAGCTCAAAATTATTATATTATTGTAATTTTTTAATTTTTTCTTGTAATATTTTTTTGTTGTTGCAGGCTATAGAGTGGAATGATGCATATGTACTGTGCGTTGGAATGAGTATTTGTTGTTTTAATTAAGTAAATATTTTTTTTTTTACAAACACTAATGTAGTTGTACACGTAGCAGAAAAATATTTTTTAGTTTGGTGCATTAAGTAAATAGTACAGTACTTGCCACAAAACTACATACGAGTATTTTTTGTTTACATTCTTTAAGTTTAGTTTAAAAAGTTTTCGTATTTAAAAGTTTTTTTTTTTTACTTTTTACAATATATTTATTATTGCTGATTTTAATTAGTTTATTTAGTGATATTTTTGTTTGGTGTAAATTACGCAACGAGCATTTTACATTTTTTGTCTTTCATACTGAGTTTATTCGCATTCATTTTGTGCGTGTCCGTATGTAAGGCGTGTCTAAGCTTTGATAATGCGACACCGATATTGAGGCTAAAGAAATTTAAATTAAAATTAAAATGGTTAAAATTGCGTTACAGTTTGCAAATAGGAGAAAGCGAGAGAGGGAGAGAGAGTGAGAGTATGAAAGGCGAGTGAGCGAGTGGATGTATGTGGAGAGCGTTTTAGGTATAGTGAGTTGTGAGTAGAGCAAAGAGAGTATTACAAGCGCGCAAGTAGATAAGTGTGTTTTGTTGAGCGGAAAGAAGGAAAGAGAGAGAGAGAGATAGTACAATAATAAGTTATTAGTGATCCAATAGTGAGGGCAGTAAGCATAAGTTTAGTTTTAAATGAATAGTTTGGAAATGGAAATTGCATATAGAGACAGAGTTTTTAAAAATAAAAATAAAAAAGAAGAAACATTAGAAATTTTATTACGTGTTTAAAGTTATAAAAGTGAGCTTTAGTATAGCGTGTGAATATTTTTAATTAATTATTATCTAAAATATACGTTTGTATGTTAGTTCCAAGCTTGGTGAACTTGTGAGAGAATTCAGAGCATTGCCAGTGATATTGTGTTACATACGAGTATATTTACAGTGCTGGGTAGTGTCAAACTATTTCTCCGGGGAGTATTAAGTAGAGCGCATGCAGCATATTCTCATTTCCTTATATTGGGTTCTCCTTCAGCCGTGACTGCGTATACTTCTAAGCCGTTGGAGATTTCGTTACTATATGGCCATATTTACAGCGAGCGAGTGGAAGTTTTTATAACCACCACTTGGAAATTGTATGAAGACTTAGAGAGTAAATCAGCATTGAAATTTACTCCTACCTAAGGGTTTCGAGATTATCTTCAACAGCACGAAAAATAGGTCACCTCATGCCACTGTACCTGAATTCGATTCCACAAAACTTATATCGCTATATAGTTTGACCCTAAGTTAGACAGTGTTATGTTGTTGTTGTAGCGGTTCGCTAACCCCGCTTAGGTATGGGTTTGATCAATCTTAGTCGCTGAGGTCATCTAATGGGAGGTCCCGGAAACGAGCAGTTTCAAAGGGTTTGAACCAAAGGGAGAGGGGGAGATTAGATGAATCGGTTTAAGGGAGCATATGAAGAGGTGGTTAGTGTCGTGCGGATACTCTCCACATGCAGGGCTTACGTTGGGTATGCCGGGGTCGAGTCTGGTTAAGTAGGAGCTTAACCTGCTACAGTATTCAGATCTAAGTTGTGCCAAGCTAAGTCAGGCAGTCAAACCACTCGCTTCTTTACTTTCTCGTTACCGGTGGGAGTCAAAACTTTTCAGTACGAAATTGTCTTATTTGTCAACGAAGAATTTTGGACTGGGTAGTAAATTTAAAAGTAAAGTCCTTTTTGGACTAAACCTTACAACGCACTCATAATTCTCGATGTGACGATGACAACATCTTACGACTTGACTTTGAGAGATTTCGAGAGCAAGGTTTTGTGGAAGATTTCTGATTCACTACGCATTGGTAACTGCGAAAACCACACGCAATGGACCGATGAACTGATTGAGGTATCTGGCGATACTGAGACAGTTCAGCGAAACAGGATTCAACGGCTCCGTTTGCCAGGTAAGGTTGCCTGGCTGGATGAGAACACGCCAGCTTTGAAAGTATTAGATGCAGATGTTAAAGAAGACTACCACTCCATTGGAGAGATTGGGTGGAGAAGTATCTGGCCTGCACCAGTTAAGAAATAGAAGATGAGGGTTCGAATAAAATAGGCTCATAAAAGGGTTGGCCTTAATATCTTATATTTATTGCGTTTAGATTGAAGATTAGGTTGAAGCTAGTCGAACTCATTAAGTTCATCTAGTGCCTTGACGTTAACTCTGCTGCTTCTTTACAGAATTTAGGGCAGGTAGGAGTCGTGGCAGTTTTGGGTTGTGAAGGGAAGAGCACTGTATATATCCTCAGTGAATTCTATTAAGCTGCAATCGGATTTATTTCGGTTTGGTGATCCGCGGAAGAGGAGAGCTCTCGCAGCAGCTGGCCCTTGGCGTTATCCAACTGGACAATAAGAAATGAGTTAAATTAAAATTCAGACATGACATCAGTTGAGCGTGTAGGCTTTTCATGAAATTGTAATATAAAAGGTAATCCATAACCGTTATCCTGCCCGTTATTCATATCAAATTGGAATCGACGCAGCTTAGAAGAGGTGCGGGTTAGGCTTTTTTTTTTTTAACTGCACCCGACAGTTGTATTCAGAAGATGCGTCTGCATCGGTAAGGCGTTTGGGTTGAGGGTTGATGTATGGGTGTTGGATTTTTGTAGTAGCTGCAAGGTCACTGTCTAGCTCTAAGCATCAAACATATGTCTGGGACATTACAGCAATGGCTGCTTGGCTGACGTGGCAACGGTATCCCACCGTTCACGAGGCGTGCGAAAGAGTTCGCATATCTGAGAAGGTGAGGAGTACTTAACAGCACTGTCAAAACGGGCTTAAGTGCGCTAGTCGCTCTGATCAACAACCGCACCCACTCAACTCAACTCAGCCCATAGAGTTGGAACGGGGTGCCAGAAAGGTCTTTTCCATGTGTCTGAGAAGCACATCCGCCGTTTAAGCAATTGTAAGCCGTAGCATTAATATCCAATTTTTTTTACAAGCTCTCTCAATTCCCTTGCGGTCTTGGAGTTTTATTAACTTTTCCTCTTAAAAAATAATATAATTTACTTATCACAAAGAATATTGCTGTGTATACATATACATCTGATACATATTGCTTCATATCTTCTCATGCACAACATTATTTCATGAAAATATTTTCACAAAACTACTACTTACGTCTTGAAACCGGTCGTCCAGTTTGTTTTTCCGTGCCCAAACTCATTGCCCGTCCCAATTCACCACGTACAGCTTTCAATGATTTTAATATCTCATCGGGATCACGACGAGCCACAGATGAACGTCTTCGACCCACATAATATGATGCCGGTGGTGTTTGCATCGCATCCTCTTCGCGTATCTTATCCGGATCTTGAAAGGATGAACGACGGGAACCCGGTAGGGAACGTGAAAAATCTTTACCCAATTGATACACCTCCACCTCGAGCGTCTCCGACTGCGAGGAACCACGCCGTGAACCAGCCACCCAAGCGTGATCGGGATGTAGTAGTGTGGCGCCATCACCGATCGAATCGACATCGTCCGATATGGAACGTTGCATATTGTAATCGCGTCGCAGGAGACGTGACACATCACCGCCCGGACAGCCGGCGGCAATGGAACCGCGCGGTGAGACGCTCGGCGATTTTGACATGCTGATGCCGCGCAGCCCCTTGGAATCCTCCAGTCGACACCAGATGGCACGATCATCGAGAAAGGCCTGTTGCAATTCAACACTGCATTCGCCCAGAAATATGGACTCGGTGTGCGGTACGAGATCCCACAACTGTATGTCAATGTAGCGATCCATGAGGCTGTCGGCATTCACGTGCTGGAATGAGAGTGTTGCATTCCAAATGGGATTTTGTGTCGGATGACTGACTTCGGTTTGCTGCACACTACCATCGCCGCTGTGGGGGTTATAGATGAGAGTGTAAAAGTTAAATTTCGATGTGGTAAAATAATTCTTAAGTAATAAAATTTTAAATTTGTTAATCAAAAAGTGAATTATTACATAAATTATAACTAAGTGCCGATGACTGTTTTGAGAGATACACATTTATTGAGCAGAGTTTGAGCCAAGCTTTTCTTTTTAATGAGACCAGAAGGCTTCACCTTTTGTGTTTTAAACTTTGTTCCTTCTACTAAACAGTTCATTCGCTTTGCCACAGGCACATGGCATTATCGCTGCAAAGAGAATTCGAAACTGCGTCAGATGAAGCTGTAAATCTACTAGCCGGACTATGCCCAGCGAATCTAGCAACCAGAGCGGTATTAGGGACTAGACGTAATTCTATTAAGGGCAAAGGTATCATGCAACCGAGCTATGAACGACGTTGCCGGAAGTCTAGGGCCTGTAATATATCGTAGGATTGGAATCGATAGTCCCGCGAGGAGCTCACAGTCCTAGCGAAGAACACTGTATGAATATTCGGATACCCAAAGCAGATTCGGCCTATTGGCCTCACTCTCTCTCTTCTAAAAATCTTTGAGAAGGTGCTTGAGATCGAAATACGTTGCTTCTGAGCTCTGCACAAGGAGCTCTAAACTCTCTTTCCAAAAGGCTGTAATGAACGCTCTTCAGGAAAGAGGTTTTGAGCAGCTCATAGTGAGACTCGTTAGTCCTTCTCTGCTCAACTTCTCTGACATGAGCAGGTAGTAATGTGTTACCTCGGGAATGTGGCACCGCGGGAAGAGTTTAGAGAACATACTGTTTGGGGCGTCTTGCCCAGGTTACCCAGGTTATTCAATGAATTTCGACCTTTCCATTTTGATGTTGGGAGATCAAACGAAAACAGGTGCTATTTTTGGGTATTTAGGGCTCTCGACATTAAATCTCTAAACCTGCTCGTCTTTTTCTAAGTCACGAAAATATGGACGATGACGATCAAAGCATAGAATGATTTAGGAGTTTTTCCAAAAGCTGTTCTACGAAAGATATATGCCGCTGTTCGTGTAAGAGAAGGGTATTGAAGAAGATGGAATCACGAACTTTATGATGACTTGAACTTAAGAAAGCGCATAAACAAGCCATTGCGGTGTTTGAAGAAGCTCCAGTGAAATTATCAATAAACTCAGCTGTCTGGAGTGGTTACGGAATGCAAGGGCGACTCCGCAAAACATGTATGAACTAAGTCCAGTAGAAGTCTGAATAAGCGGAAGAACTTCGCTAACAAGAGATCCTATGGATGAAAGTTTTTATTCTTGGCCTACAACGACAAACGATTGCAGAGCCATAATAGAACAAGAAGTTACAGCTTCCTAGCGGTATCGGTTTCGGTATCAGAACTAGCCACATTGTTGCTGGTTTTCAGTCGACGTGCTATAGTATTTGGAATTTTACCTTCAGACGCAACTTCCGTTTCTCTGGGAGGAAAGTATGTAACGCTCAGTAGCGCATACATCAACAGGACTGTAGACAATATGGTCTACAAATCGCACCGAGAAAGGCGCCATCGACGAAGCTATCTGCGCCCTGCATAAACCGCAGAACGCACTGTCCAACGGATCCCTGCAGTGCAGGCAGGATGTCTAAACGCCCAATATTAAACTAAATTGTAAACGCCGTGCGCGCCACCTTTCGGTTTCCCAATATTCCTGGTCTTCTTTCATGCGACTATTCTTCGGTCCATTTACAACCTACTTCGGCGCAGGGAACAGTGCAGTGGGTCAGCTAGATTGGGCGAAACATATTTACTTTTCTTCAAGTATTCCTGTTTTTGTGAAAATTTACTCTAAAGCTAAGGCTTACTCAAAGAGAAGGTTTACATATCTGCTAGTTTTAGACCAGTTCTCCATTAGTTCAACAGCCCGCACTGTTTAATGAGGATTTAAGATAATGGTGTACCAGCATTGGTCGCCGTTTCAGCAACTTAGAGGAAGAAGAATCTGTTCTTAGCCATTGCTGAACATACTCTTTCGAATGTTTAGGTGAGTTAACTTCAGCAGGCATTTATAATCAGCGCTTAGTGGGAATCTGACTGGGAAATTATAAGAATACCATAGAGGAACTGACCTACGGGTTTAAGTGTGCTGGGCGTTAACTCAACTCAACTCAACTCAACTCACCTCAATTCAACTCAACTCAACTCAACTCAACTCAACTCAACTCACCTCAATTCAACTCAACTCAACTCAACTCAAAATATCAAATAATTATTTTTTACAACAAAAATGGTTGAAGGTTTACAAATGAAACTCATTACCGTTATAAGATTAGTTAGGCTCGTGCTAAAATTGTGTTGTTAAGATCTTAGGTGTATTTTGGGGGTGGGAGAAAAAATGCTGGTAGAAATCTACCAACCAAGCTTACCATTTGGGTAGAATGCGTACTTTGGCGTAAGCCTCTGGCAAATTACCATGCCCGTAGGCTTCATCGCGCAGTGCCAAATCATCGGCGGCCATTAGAGAAACAACTAATTCATTGCGATCAGCATTATACCATACTTGCAACTGGACACGCCCACTTACTTGTTTCTCGCGTGCAATTTGTTCCTAAATATTTTTTGGTGGGGGGGGAAAAATGCACCGATAAATGTGTAGAGGGAAAAGGAAGAAAAAATATTAAATATTAGCTTTGAAGGAAATTTTGATAAATAGACATTACACAGTATGTATGTAAATATATGGGAAATTTTATGGGATTACATAAAGGTCTGAGGATTTAATATATATGTATAATATATTTTGGAATATTTTTAAGATATTTTTAGAGAATGATTTTGGGGCGTATTTTTTTCTAGGATTTTTTTATTATTTACAAAATACATATACCTGAAGTTTATTGCTATAAAATATGTATGGCAGTTTAGTGTAATATATATATGCATATTTATATATATTTATATGCAAAAATTGGGTATAATTTATTTAAATAAGTAATACATTCAATAATATAAATATTTATTGACACATACATATATAATTTGGAATTTTGAAATTGACTAACTTACTCTTCAGCCTCTCCCCTCTGTGTGTTTTTATATATAAATTTTTTTTGTTGATATATATTTTTAATGCAAAATAAATATGTATGTATGCTGTATATGTATTATATGCTGGAATTTACTGTATATTATGAGGAGTATTTATGTTTGTAAATTAGTGTATTATCTGTGATTAGTTTCTCTCCAATAAATATAAATATCTCTTCACAACGCACCAAAATAAATAGATTAAAATAATTATTAAATTCAATAACCAACATAAAACTGCAACTAAGTGGTAATAAATTATGAAAAATCAAATCAAAATTTATTAAAAAAAAATAATTAAATAATTTAAAAAAAATCGTTAAAAAAATTTATATATATTTTTAAGTTATACTAATTAACATAAACTATGGTGGATTACTACTAATTAAACTACCTGCTAATGCACACATATATACATACATGCAATGATACGCAGAAAATACATACTACAGTACATTTAAATATACATACATATTTACCAAGTGATTTCGGTTTATCAAGTAGACAATTTATTTTTTTAATTATTAAATATTATGGACAACACAAATTGCTGGATCATAGAAGTCGTGCTAATATAAAATGAAAAAAAAAAAATTCTTAAAATTTTTTCTTGATTTCTTAAGACTTTCTTCTTTTTTTGCCACTTACAAAGTGTTCCAAGAACTTTTTATGAAATATATAACAGTTCAGGTTTATGAAATCAAATTATTTCCCAAATTTGCGAAGCTTCGTCGTATAAAAGGTTCACAACACCACCGTCCGCAATACACGAGTGGATTCTGCAGATATTTACTACAGCGGCCATATAAAGGAGCACAAATTTGCTGTCTGATTTGTGGTGGAAGGGATGCTCCATCGCACAGCACTGGTATTCACCCCGGTGAATGAAAGTCCTGCCACAATTCGCATCAAAATAAAATCCTTTAACAAACCGTTGATTTGCGCCTACGCCCCGACTAAAGAAAAGAACGATTTGGCCAAAGATGCCTTTTATGAGCCCCTGGATCGTACTGATGAGCGCTTCCCCCACCACGATGTGAAAATCGTGCTTGGCGATTTGAACGGCAGGGTGGGCAATGAGGATATTTTTGGGACAACAGTCAGAAAATTCAGCCTTCACAACGAAACATTCCCTAGTCGACTAAGGCTGATCGACTTCGGTGAGATCCGAAAAATGATTGTGCGTTGCACTGGATTCCAGCACAAGAAAATACATTAAGCTTATTGGCTGTCTCCTGAATGAAAAACACAAAACCTGAACGATCATGTTGTGAAGGACTGAAGAGATGCCTCCAGTTTTCTTGAAGTGCGTACGCTCAAAGGATCCAACATCGTCTTGGACTACTATCTTGTTGCAGCGAAGATACGTACTCGCAAATAATGCCCGTCAACAAACACAAGGAAAGTTCGACGTCGAAAAGCTGTGATCACAATACACAGCAGAATGTTTTCTACTCGACTTGCATTTCTGCTCTCTGAGAGCACTCATCAGCAACTCAGCAACTCGGTATATGGGAACTGAGGGACGGCGTTTCAGGCATACGAAGCTGTTGGATTGCGGAAAGGTCGCAAAAACAGCTGGTACGATGATGACTGCCGTGTCGCAGTGAAGCAAGCTGGCTACCTCACAACGTTGCGTTTGACCACAAAACGTGAGGGGTGGGGTAAATACCGAGAGCTGAAGAAGGCAGAAGACGCATTTGCAAAAAAAGAGAAAGAGGCGGATACGCGTGAGTATGAAGAGCTTGAGAAACTAGCCAAAAGGAGTATAGCTCGAAAATATTATGAAAACGACGATTTTTGAAAGGTTTCAAACCCGAAGCAGTCTCTTGTAGGACACAACGAGGTGATTTAGGAGCCGACGCCCAGTTTCCAGTCTGCTGAATGGCTATGAAAACAGTCCCAGTCTGCGCCAATTATCGTGGGATAAGCCCCCTTAATACCATAGACATCAAGATCCTGCCGACCGTATTGTGTTAAAGCCCACTATAAACAAACTGATTGTACCATATCAGTATGGCTTCAGACTTGGTAAATCAACCAATCATCACACAACACTAAAAGCTCCGTTAGGATCGGGGAGGACATCTACAAATCATTCCATACCATATACTTAATATATATACATGTGTATATATGTATGTCAGTATTGGTACGAACATGAGTTACATCTATCAGGTTAGCGGCACAGTTCGACTTAACACAGACTGTGTTTATGTATGTGTATAATATTTTTGTATATTTATTTTGTGTGCAATAAATGGTGGTCCGCTTTGCTACTTACGACGTTGTCATATTGTCAAAATCGACTCGACTATCAATAATAAATAAATTCATTCTACGTGTTATTGTGTTGACATACAAGCCATGAACGTGATATTGTCGTATTTACAATAACTGAGCTGCCATTCTGCCTTTCATGTGACTCTGCGGTGAAAGAGAGACAGAGGAGTGAGGGAGAGCTGTAAGAGTCAAGTGAATGTTATGTTGAATGGCTTTAGGGGTATTTGTAAAATAAGAGTAAATTTACTTTCGTAAGTAACGGTGAGCTTCTGATGGAGGAAGAATTTCAAGAAGAATGTAATAATACTTCAACATTTTTATATTTAGTATTTAATTTTTTGATTAATTTTTCCAGTTTTAAATTGTTTTTTTTTATTAATTTTTTAATCTTTAATCTTTAATTTTTAATCTTTAATCTTTAATCTTTAATTTTTAATCTTTAATCTTTAATCTTTAATCTTTAATCTTTAATCTTTAATCTTTAATCTTTAATCTTTAATCTTTAATCTTTAATCTTTAATCTT